ATGGCAACACAATTTATCAAAACTTATGGGATACAGTAAAAGCAGTATTAAGAGGAAAGCCTACATCAACAAATTGGGAAGGCATCAAATAAATGAGCTATCAATACATCTCAAGGACCTAGAAAAACAAGAATATACAAAATTCAAAGTTATTAGGTGGAAATAAATAATTAAAATTAGAGAAGAAATAAACAAAACTGAAGCAAAAATGATATAAAAATTGACAAAATGAAAATCTGTTTTTTGAAAAAATAAACAGCCAACTGTTTCAACTGGTTCAACTAACAAAGACAAAATGGGAGAAGACCCAAGCTAATAAAATCAGAGATGAAAAAGGAAAATGTTACAATGAATACCACAGACAAAAAGAACCCATCAGGAATTATTACAAACAGCTATAAGCCAACAAACTGGAAAACTTAGAAGAGATTGATAGATTTCTGGACACACACAATCTACCAAAATTGAGTTGTGAAGACACAGAAAACCTAAACAGACAAATAACCAAGACAGAAATTAAATCAGTAACAAAAACCCTCCCAACAAAGAAAAGCCCAGAACTGGATGGCTTTACTTCTGAATTCTCCCAAACTTTAAAAAAAGAAGTAATTTCTATTCTTCTCCAACTATTCAAAACAATTGAAAGGGAGGGAATCCTCCCAACTCCTGTTAGTACAGCAAACTTAATTCCAAAGAGTTCTTGCAAAAGATCCCGGAAGTACAGATAATAAATGTGAAAGTAGACATTTATTATCTACCTTTTGATTACATTGAGCTACAAACTTCTGCACAGCAATGGACACACTCAACAAAGTTAAAAGGCAACCAACGGGATGAGACAAAGTATTTACAAACTATGCAACTGACAAAGGGCTAATAACCAAGATCTATAAAGAGCTCAAGAAACTTAACAACACAAAATAAACGACCCAGTTAAGAATTGGGAAAAGGACATTAACAGGTACTTTTCAAAGGATGAAATACAAATGGCCATCATCCATCATACGTGAAACAAATGATCAGGATTCTTAGCCATCAGGAAATGCAAAAAAAAAAAAAAAAAATGAGGAAAAGATGAGGTTTCACCTCATTCCAATGAGAATGACTATCACTCAAAAATAAAAAAAATAGGAAATGCTGGCAAGGATGTGGGGAAAAAAAGTACCCTAATGAAATAAGCCAGTCCCAAAAAGACAAATATCATTTGTTATCTCTAATATGCATTAGCTTACAAAGAACACAAAAATGTATAGGATTGATGCAGCCATCTTGTGATTTAATTGTTGTTTCCATCTTATTTATACTCCTGTGGAACTTGGTCTTTCTACTTCTTGCTTATTAAATATTATGCCTAGTTTTGCATTAAGCCTATGATTATAAAGTAGACTGAAGCTATGTTTTTGCAAAAATTAAAAGAAGACAAAAAAGAAAGGAACAAAGGAAAGGGATTAAGGATTGAGGGAGGGAGAGAAAAATGGTTATCTTCTTAGAATTTTACCTATGAAATACATGAAATTTGTTCTGTTTATACTAATAAAAATTTAAGAAAGAATGGATGCCAATGACAGGCGAAATATATGTCAATGTGCAAATAAAATATAACGGTTGATCTAGCAGTCTGTAAAACAAAAATACACTTCAATAATTATAAAGACCTTTCTATTAAACAAGATGAAGAATTACTCTATAAAATTATAAAATATTAATTTACCAGAAATAAAAAACCATTTTAAGCTGATTCTACATAATGTAATCTCACAATATATAGAAACTAAAATTGACAGCCCTGTCAGGAGAAAGATACACACCATAGAGGGAGATTAACAAAAGAGTTTCACCTATCACACAACTAAGCAGGTAAAAATTGCTTAGGTCACAGATTTGGAGAATACAACCAGAAAACATGATCTGACACATCATGACAGGGTTCTGGAAAACATTGAACTCAGTATGCTGAAAATGTATTATTAATTTGAGAAGTTAATGAAAATGAAAAAATAATGTATCACAGTTAACCATGTACTAATTCATAAGTTTTGAAGAATTTATAGAACATAGTATCTAACCACATTAAATTAAGTTAGGAAGCAGAAAGAAAACAACAAAAATAACTACAAAAGCCTCGTTTATTTCAAATTTCAAAAACATTTGTAAGGAGCTGTGGGATCTAAGAATCTAGTATAATGGAAATCAGAAATCACAAAGAAATGAAAAAATAGGAAATATTGTTAAAGTAATAGAAGAAGGTTAAAGTTCTTAAGTCTTTTTTTTTTTTTTTTTTTTGACAGGCAGAGTGGACAGTGAGAGAGAGAGACAGAGAGAAAGGTCTTCCTTTGCCGTTGGTTCACCCTCCAATGGCCCCCGCGGCCGGCACGCTGCAGCCGGCGCACTGCGCTGATCCAATGGCAGGAGCCAGGAGCCAGGTGCTTTTCCTGGTCTCTCATGGGGTGCAGGGCCCAAGCACCTGGGCCATCCTCCACTTCACTCCCTGGCCACAGCAGAGGGCTGGCCTGGAAGAGGGGCAAGCGGGACAGAATCCGGCGCCCCAACCAGGACTAGAACCCGGTGTGCCGGCGCCGCAAAGCGGAAGATTAGCCTAGTGAGCCGCGGCGCCGGTCAAAGTTCTTAAGTCTTTACACACAAAAAAGAAAGAAAACTCAACATGAATAAGGCAGATATTTAATTAAAAAGTTAGCAAAAACATATTGAACAAAATAGTAAAGAAATTGGAAGAACATAGAGTGGAATGCATATGAAGTAGAGAGAGCGTCAAAACAACCAGAAGTCAGTTTTTCAACAAGACTTGTGAGATTAATGAAATAGACATATTTTTGACAACATTATTTGGGAAAAAATATAAAAGTAGATGTAAAAATGTTAAAAATGGAAAGAGGTATAAATATATACTAGTATATATAATATATAATTATATACTATAGAAACTAAATTGACAATAAATGAATATTCATAACCACATCCTACTAAATTTGGGATGGAATCTATAAATTCTAAGAAAAAATCTAAAGCAAGAACAGAAAATTTTAAGAATTCTAAAGCAAAGAAAACAACACAGTGGTTTTCTAGGTATGTATGCTCTATCCTCTCCTTGCTTGTCCTGTTCCTGTGTGGGTAAAGGGAGGCAGGTGAGGCAGCCATCTTGAACCACAAGTTCTGGTGTGGCAACTGGCAGAGCAGACACAGAAGAGTGAAGTCATCACAATTGTGGGACCACCACCCCATCCTATTCCTCTCTTGTTGACACTTTAGCTATTTTGAGTGTTTGTTGTAGTGGCCACATCATAACCTAACTAGTCAAAGTGATAAAACTGAAAATAAGAGAAATGCTAACACAATTATTTAGACTGTGGTTGACTGTGAGGGAGTATGAGTGGGTCACTGTGATTGTGTGAGAAAGGTAAACAGAACCAGAGAGATTTCTAGAAATTGTTATGCCTATTCCTTAAGGGTATGGTATATGTAGTTTTATTATCCTTTAAAATGTTAGATTTTATAAATGTGCATATGTATATAACATTTCAGAACTGAAATATATTTAAAAATTGGGAAAAAGCAGCATTGTGGAACAGCAGGTAAACCTGCGCTTGTGATTCGCATCCTGTTATCACAGTGCCTGTTCAAGTTCTGGCCACTTTGCTTCCCATCTAGCTTCTTGCTAACACACTTAGGAAAGCAATGGAAGATGGCCTAAGTGCATGGGTCACTGCCATTGCCACCCATGCGGGAGACCATGATGGATTTCTTGGCTCTTGGCTTTGGCATGGCTCAGGCCTAGCTGTTGCAGCCATTAGGAGGAATGAACCAGCAGATTCTCTCTCTCTCTCTCATCTCTCTGTCTCCCTCTCTCTCTGTTTCTTTGTCTTTCAAAAAATAAATCTTAAAAAAATACTTTGAGGGGGTCTGGCACTGTCACCTAGCAGGTAAAACTACTACCTGTGATGCTGGCATCTCATCTGGGCACCAGTTTGCGTCCCTATTGCTCCACTTCTGATTTAGCTCCCAGCTAATGGCCTGGGAAAGCAGCAGAAGATGTCCCAAACGTTTGGGCCTCCACCACCTACATGGGAGCCCCAAATCAAGCTCCTGGCTCCTAGCTTCAGCCTGGCCGAGTGCTGATTGTTGTGGCCATGTAAGGAGTGAACCAGCATATGAAAGAACTCTCTCTCTCTCTCTCTCTCTCTCTGCCTCTCCCTCTCTCTCTGTAATTCTTTCAAATGAATAAATCTATTTTTAATTCAATAACATAGAATGTAAAGAGCTACATCTTAGTAACTCAACAGTAAGCAGTTTCTTTAAGAACAAAATATTTTGTGGGACCACAACTATGTATGGCCATTAATGAAGCTAGATCTTTGTTGTAATAAAGTGGAAGTGTGGTCATGTTCACAGACTGATACTGAGATTCCAAATGGTATGGTGGTCACCCTCTCTCTCCCTGTTCGCCTGCTCTATAAACATCTTCCATAAACCACCAGGTGTGGCTGCATGTGTAAAAGGAGGCACCTTGGTTGTGTCCAGTGAGGTCTGGGCAGATCTAATAATTGTCTTCACTGCCCAGTGTCACTAGGCAGAGTAGTCAAAGAGAACAGACTTTGGTTTGCAGTAACTATGTGCAATAACTAAATTGACTACCTTTTTCATATTTGTCCTAGGGACCAGTAAGATTCAAATAAGAAAATGAAACACTACTTTGAGAACAGAATTGTATCTCTTTATACTGCATTAGCTAATCCCCATCACTGGTATTCCGGTTAAAGGAAAAAAATAATGATGCTGATTTTCAGAACCAAAAGTAGTTCCTATCTGGTTGTCAGTCAGTCTACCCACAAAAACTTACCAAACCTTTAGGCTACACTTTCACTTTGTCAAATGAAACAACTGATAGGGAAGCAAGTGACAAGTTTCAAAATAAGTACATATCTAACTGTAGCTCTAATATAATGTCATGTATGCTGATATAGAAACAACCAAATTTAATGTACCTTTTCCACCTCTGTCTTGCTTGAATTTTTTTCTGCATCATCATTACTGTATCTGAAAAATAAATTGACTTAGTTTATAATTTCATTTAAATGTTATTTAGAAAATCTTAATCAAAATATCAATATTCTTTACCCTGGAACTGATTTTGTTTTCTCTTTACTCTCATTTATTTCATACACAATAGCAGTTTCTGCAAAACATTAAATAAAAGAAAAATAATTTAAATAAAAGTTTATCATTAGGTTTGAATGTATGTGTGTGTATTTATAACTTGAAAGTACAAATAAGCAAATACACTTTGAACTGACTTAACATTGACCTTAACAAAGTATTTTACAAATATGAATATCCTCCAAACGTTTTCACAGCAGCATCAGAGCAGTTCATCAGAACCAGAAATCATCACAATGAAATGTGGTGCTGCAGCCAAACAGAATGCAGGAATTAAAAATCTCTAATGTTCTATTGAAAGGTCATTTCGGAAAAGAGTAACCTGGATCTCTACTGATATAGACATGAGATGTTGCTCCATCAGACTGGCTGGAGGATAGGAAAGGCATTTTTCCCTTTTTGCAAAAGAATACAAATCCAACAATTGATTTAAGGTAAACTACTAGTATCATGTAATTCTTTTGTATAGGTGTTTGAAACTACAGAAAAGGAAGGTTGAATTAACATCTTTCATGTAAAGACAGTTAATTCAAGATATACCCCAGAATTCTGACTTAGTATCTAGTGACCAAATGACTGGACTCCACTGTGGCTACATGAACACATGATACCATCAATTTCCAGTCCGGGGTTGGAAGCTCCTTGGAAATTAGTCATCTGAGTGGCCTCCGCTTCTGCTTCAGCACTGATGATCTGCTGTGCTACAGCCTCCACAATGGGCATCACCATGGCAGCTGTAGAGGTGTTGCTAAGCCACATAGACAGGAAGGCAGTACTGCTCATGAACCCCAGTGTGAGCCTGCAAGGAGACAGCCTTTACTGTGGAGCCATGCTCTCTAGCTTAATTAGCTCTGTCTTACTTAACTGAAAAGGATAATGTGTGTGAGCTGACAATTAAGTTTTTCAAAATGAGGAGGTTAAGTTTTCACCCAAATGATGAACCCTGAATATAATCACAGCCAGGTAAAAACCAATGTAACACATATAAACATTGAGTTCTAAAGATATTTATCTCTTAGGGAACCATAAAAATCTTCTTTCCAAAAAAAGATAAAAGTTTTAACTTATAACCAAACTGCAATTGGGTACCTGGCATAGCAGCTTATAATATTGTGCAAATACTTGAATGCTCTTTACAGATGACTGCTTGTCTTCAGATACCAGCAACTTTTGAATTCAGATTCTTGAGAAGGCACAAGACAAGGACTAGAATTAATATTTATAAATCATTTTACTTGTTTACTTTTCTATTTCAATAGAAGATGGGTAGAAAAATGGTCAAACCCACTTGCTAAAATGGGATTCAGAATTTTCTGTAGATCCTATTATTTATAATCTCCTGGATTTGACATTCTTCCCTGTTGTCTGGCACGTGTGTGTGTGTGTGTGTGTGTGTGTAATTTATGTTATTTGAAAGGCAGAGTTAGAGAGAGAGGGAGAGAGAGAGAGAAAGAAAGAGGGAGAGACACAGAGAGGGAGAGAGAGTCAGAGAATCTTCCATCTGCTGATTCATTCCCCAAACGGCCACAATGGCCAGAGCTGCGCAGATCCAAAGCCAAGAGCCAGGAGCTTCTTCTGGGTCTCCCTCATGAGTGTAGGGGCCCAAGCACTTGGGCTGTCTTCCACTGCTTTCCCAGGCACGTTAGCAGGGAGGTGAATTGGAAGTAGAGCAGTCAGGACTCGAAATGGTGCTCATAGGGGATTCCGGTGTTGCAGGAGGTGACTCAACCCACTAAGCCTCACCAGCCCCAAGAACAAGATATATTACATTGTTTTCTCTTACAGATAGAGTATCTCTTCAGAGTATCTCTTCTACTTTAAAAATGAGACAGAGTATCTCCTCTTCCTTAAAAATACTTTGCCTGGTGTCCGTTTTGTGACCCATCTGTGATGCTGGCATCTCATTTAGGGTCCAGTCTGAGTATGGGTTGCTCCCCTTCTGATACAGCTCCCTGCTAACATGTCTAGGAAAGCAGAAAGTGGTGGCCCAAGTGCTTGGGCCCCTGCACCCATGTGGGAGATCTGGATGGACTTCTAGGCTCCTGGCTTTGGCTTGGTTCAGTTCCAGCTGATGTGATCATTTGGAGAGTGAACCAGTGGATATAAGATTCTCTCTCTGTAATTCTGCCTTTCAAATTTCAAATAAATCATTTTAAAAATAAAGTAACATCACAATTGCTTTATAATTATAATTACAAACACACAAACGAAAAGGTTAAATCAGGTATAAAATAAATAAATATAAAAATTAAAAAATGTGCCTAAGACCATAACATTTTAAATAATGACTATAAATCTGCAAAATTACACTTAGGAGAAAGCATGATCTGTTTTAGGTCAGAGACCCTAGAAATCATTGGAAGGAAATGTTTCATGTAGAGTCATTTACGACATTCTTTGATTCCCTTTTAAAATAGACTACAACAACAATTCTGTATTACAATTTTTAAGGTGGATATTTTCTATAGAAAAAGCAAAATAAAACTTTAGGTATCGATAGATACCTACTTAAGCAAGAAATGTCTCTTAGAAAACCTAAAAACATTTTTTAATTTAAGGCATCCGCAATCTGTGAAATCTTCCTATTAGAAAACAGACTGGAATTGGGTAAGCTTTCATATAGTGAAAACACCTTAAATTCAAAGTCACTTGGTGGCATGGTGGATCCTGGCCCCACTATGCAGTGCTTTGTCCCATCCCTGGGGTCATTGTGCAGGTGATCAAGGAAAATAGATACATAGCAATGGTACTCTAAGAGGCACAGGGCAACATTTGAAATGTGAACTGCCTTAAATTTGCTATAAAATTTTTAAGTAACAAAATTTGTCTCATCTATACCATTGTGTTTTCTTGTATATATCAAAACAGTTTCTTCCACAAATGATAAACACAGGTGTGGTGATGCCCTACAATGAAGTATGCAGCAGAAGCCAATATAATTTTTTATTAAAAAAAAATCTGAGAAGGAAACAGCCACCTCAGTCATTAAAGCAAAATGTTATTACACAACAGATTGTGACTCTGGAAATTTTTTTAACTTAAATTCATTTCTTAACAAGAGATGGAATAAAAATCAACCAATTAAAGTAATAAAAGCATTCCTTTAAGTTGGAAAAAAGCAGTCCAATGAGTGATTTCACATTCTACCGATGAAACTTCTTAATTGATTGTTTCAATTTGCAACAGTTGATTTCAAAAGAAAAATGTTCACCTTGAATTCTTCTGCCTACATTTGTATTTTGTCAGTATTTTTTTTTGTCTTTGGTTCTTAACATCTTCCCTGATGATAAAGAATGCTTTTAAACAGGTTTTGAATGTGTAATCAGCCAAGTAAACAAGGTAGGACTGAAATCTACTCTTAGAGTTATCAGTCTTGTGTGTGCTGAAGTTCAAGACTTCTCTCAGCTTTGACTCCTCGGGCACATAAAAGCTTATTCCAGTCTCCCTGTTATTAGACCTGCAGTGAATAGAAAGTTGTTTTCCCCTTCCTACTACTCAAGAGCACTTTATAGTGCTTTAATATTTGCAGAGGGGAAAAAAAAGCCATGAATTACACTGAAATGCAAGCAAGTCCCTGGATGTGCATTGCTTACTTGGTTATTTGTTCTGCACAATGATTATCTGTTCAGAATGTAAACTGAAAGCAGTGGATGCAGTCCTTACCATGCCGGGTTCACACCCACCATCATCACCATTCTCAGAGCAATCCTCTTGTGCAAATTCCATTTTTCTATCGATGTTGCTAAGCAGATGACTCCAATTAGCAGCAGGTGAAAATCTTTGAAATAAGCCGATGCTACCTGAAATTACAATTACACCCATGATTATTTACATTGATGGGAAAAATAGCATTGTACAAGAAAGACATTATTATGCTGCTCTTAACTTTGACCTTCAACCACATATCTTTCTATTTGAGAGAAATGTAGATGTGTTTGAATACCAATTTAAGGATGTCTATACTCTGCCCTAGAGATAGTTGTGCTAAGAAAAAATATGTATACAGAAACAAAAAATGAGCACCCAGAATATTAGATTTTTAAATATCTGAGTAACAGCTGGCAAGTGTCTTCTATGCCTTAATTTTCCACATATAAACTAGGATTCATTTGTTTATAGCCATTACTGAAATTTGGGGAATTTTGAATCAAGTACTGACCTGCCAATATCTTCATCCACACCATTTATCCCATAATTTCAGTCACTCCTTTGAGTTTTGAATACTTTGCTTTCAGAATTATTTATTATAAAACAAGTACCCATTTTCAGCTAATGAATTCAGGGATTAGGAAAATGTCCAAACACTTTCAGCAAAATCTTGCAGTGATATTTCTAAAGGATGCTCTGAAATATGTTAGGTACAACATTTTTTAAAGGATTATGTGATTAGTTCATCTTAGAAAACATGAGATATTTAAATACAAGAATTTCTTGCTAATAGGCTTTACCAAAATCTCTAAATAATAGTTCATAATATCATCTCTAGAGTGGGATACTGTGTTCTGCATGTTTCTCAGGATTAATAATACAAAATTTACTTTTTTAAATTTTTAAGTAGAGCACCACATGTGACTGGTATTTGATAGAACTAACTTTAGGAAATGATTGGCTAAACTAAATATCAAGGCTGTGCTGAACAGGGCAGATTGTAAGAGAAAAGATTCTATTGAAAAAGCAAGTAATGTCTGGTAGAAGAAATGAAAGATTTGGAATAAAACTGTCGTATTGTTATAAACTTCAGAGGAAAAGGAAAATCAATTCTGATGATCATTTTGCTGTTAAATTGTATCAGCACTCTGTAATTAACACACAATTATTCTTAGGTGTTTAAATTTTAACTGAAAAGTGATCCCTGTTAGGAATTTGGAAAACATTATGCTGAATGAAATAAGCCAATCCCAAAGGGACAAATACCACTTGTTCTCCCTGATAGGTGACAACTAACTGAGCACCAAAAAGGAAACCTGTTAAAGTGAAATGAACACTAGGAGAAACGGTGACTTGATCAGCCCTCACCCTGACTGTTGATGAGCAACTTAATATGTTATCCCTCTTAGTATTTTTTTTGTTTGTTCTACTTCATACTTTTGGTTGAATACTGTAATTAATACAAAATTATTCTTAAGTGCTGAACTTAACTGAAAGTGATCGCTGTTAAATATAAGAGTGGGAATAAGAGAGGGAAGAGATGTGCAATTCAGGACATGCTCAAGCTGACTTACCTCAAATGGTAGAGTTAGAAACATACCAGGGGATTCCAATTCAATCCCATCAAGGTGGCATATACCAATGCCATCTCACTAGTCCCAGTGATCAATTTCTGTTCACAATTGATCATAATGATAGGACCAAGAACCAAAGGGATCACATAAACAAGACTAGTGTCTGCAAATACTAGCTGATAGAATAAAGAAGGGAGAGAATGATCCAACATGGGAAGTGAGATACACAGCAGACCCATTGATTCGGAGATTTCTAAATACGTCTTTCTGCCCCGAATCAGCCTTTAGGCATCCGGTCCTTCCTTAAAATTCCTTTAGAGTTTTTTGGCATGGAAAGCCAAGACCCTCTGGGGAAAAAAAAAAAAAAAAAAAAACTAAATGAAAGATCTCCACGAGTGAGATCCCAGTGGAAAGAATGGGTCATCAAAGAAGGAGGTACCTTTCTCTGAAGGGAGGAGAGAACTTCCACTTTGACCATGGCCTTGTCTAAATATTATCAGAGTCAGTGAACTCAGCGGGCTTCCATAGCCTTGGCAGCTCATGACAAGAGCCTAGGGTGATTACTGATGCCATAAACAAGAGTGTCAATTTGTTAAGTCAAGAACAGGAGTCACTGTGCACTTACTCCTCATGTAGGATCTTTGTCCTTAGTGTGCTGTACATTGAGCTTTAATGCTATAACTAGTACTCAAACAGTATTTTTCACTTTATGTTTCTGTGTGGGAGCAAACTGTTGAAATCTTTACTTAATGTATGCTAAACTGATCTTCTGTATATAAAGAGAATTGAAAATGAATCTTGATGTGAATGGAAGGGGAGAGGGAGTGGGAAAGGGGAGGGTTGCAGGTGGGAGGGACTTTATGGGGGGGAAGCCATTGTAATCCATAAGCTGTACTTTGGAAATTTATATTCACTAAATAAAAGTTAAAAAAAAAGAAAAAAATTGTATCAGCACTTTAAACACAGCTTATCAAGTTTGACTTGGTTTAATAAAAGGCAAAAATTGTGATAATTCCCTTTAGAATTAATAGCAGACAAGTGGACTTCTTTATGTTTTATGAAATGTTAATTGTTTTTCAAAGTTTGTATTAATCTCTTTACATTTGGTAGCAGTTGAGTAAGAGAAAATACTCTTATTAACTTTAATTCTTTGGTTTATTAAATTTTCTAACACTGAAACAGCATTTACCATGCATAAAAATATTATAGGAGCAGAGACACATTTTTCCTTTTTTGTATCTCCTTAATTCTCAGGTAGCAGGCCTTCATTTTAGTAGGTTTTGCTCTTTTTCTGAGTTCTGTTCCTTTTCTTCCTAAAAATATCACATCACGTAGGTTTACTTGTTTGCTACCTGTCTTGCCTATTATATATATGAGGAGCAGGACTGTATTGCTGTTACTTATCTGGCATCTAGAACAGTTCAGCCACAGAGGGAGGAAGGGTTGGGACATTGAATAAGCTATGGTCTCTGAATTCCTGAATTCCAAATGTCCATATTCTGTCCGAAGCCTCCTATCTTCCTAAATCTCAGTATAAAGATTTCAATTTTTCAATTTACTAGTGTTTTCAGTCTTGTGAATCTTTTTATACTTCTAACTGATTCTATTCCTGCTTCTGAATTTTTCTACTTGGCTTACTTTAAAAATTTGTTCTCCTTGTCCTTCTCTTAAATGCTGATAGTCTACAGGCTGACTATCAAGGATAGTCACCTAATGGTTAACTATCAAGGATTCAACTTTTCTCTCTGTATGATAAAAATAATGCCTGGTACATGCATAGTAGGCAACAAATTCATATTTGTTGAATGACTGCTCAATGCATCAAGGTCTTTATATCCAGACATTTTTTTTTTTAATTTCCAGCCTGGTTTATCCAACCAGAAATTTCTGTTTGAATTTTCCACAAACAACTAAAACTGAAAGCATCCGAAATGATGCTCTCATCCTTTCACTACTCATTCTTTAAACATCTCCTTCCTCTTTTATAATGAAATGTCTAAATGCTCAGTAGCTCAAACCTGAAATCAGAGGGTCAGTCATGATTTTTTTTTCACTTCTAATGTGTGTGTATTGGTCTCCAAGTTCTATAATTTCTAGATCTTCATATCTTTAACTTTATCTATTTTTTCTATTCAGACACTACTATCTTATATAAACTCCTCATAATTTTCACCTGGCTACTGTATGGTTTTTCTTTTTAATTTTTTTTTTTTTAGATAAATCAAGGTATTCTATCCCTTAGTTTGTTCCTCAAATACCCACCATAGCCAGGGCTGAGCCCAGCAGAAGCCAGGAGCCAGAAACTCAATCCAGTTCTTTCATGAGGGTGGCAGGAACCCTATTACTTGAGCCATCAACTGATTCCTCCCAGGGCCTGCATATTCAGGAAGCTGGAGTCAGGAGTTAGTGCAGAGTATTGAACCCAGGCACTCTGAAGTGGGAAGTGGGCATCCTAACTACTAGCCAAATGCTTGCCCTGATGTCCTTTTTCCAGTCCACCCATAGCCCTCTGAGTCATTTTTCTAATTGGTCTTCCTACACGTCTTCAGTGAATCCCATGGCTTCTAAGACCAAATTCAATAGTCCCAACTTGTTGCAGTAGTGCCTTCATTATCTGGTGCTGTATCACCTCTTCAGTCTAATCTCTTACCACTCCAATCCACTTCTTTCTATATTTGTTGCATAGTCTCCCGATCCATAAATTTTTTTATTTATTTTTTATTTAGTAAATATAAATTTTCAAAGTACAGTTAATGGATTACAATGGCTTCCCCTACCCATAATTTCCCTCCCACTCGCACCCCTCCCATCTCCCACTCCCTCTCCCATTCCATTCACATCAAGATTCATTTTCAATTATCTTTATATACAGAAGATCAATTCAGTATATATTAAATAAAGATTTCATCAGTTTGCACCCACACAGAAACACAAAGTGTGAAATACTGTTTCAGCACTAGTTATAGCATTACTTCACGTTGGAAAACACACTAAAGACAGATCCCACATGAGAAGTAAGTACACAGTGACTCCTGTTGTTGACTTAAAGAAACAGTCAAGAAAGTGAAGAGGCAACCAACAGAATGGGAAAAAATATTCACAAACTATGCAACAGATAAAGGGTTGATAACCAGAATCTACAAAGAAATCAAGAAACTCCACAACATCAAGACAAGCAACCCACTTAAGAGATGGGCCAAGGACCTCAATAGATAATTTTCAAAAGAGGAAATCCAAATGGCCAACAGACACATGAAAAAATGTTCAAGATCACTAGCAAACAGGGAAATGCAAATCAAAACCACAATGAGGTTTCACCTCACCCCGGTTAGAATGGCTCACATTCTGAAATCTACCAACAACAGATGCTGGAGAGCACGTAGGGAAAAAGGGACACTAACCCACTGTTGGTGGGAATGCAAATTGGTTAAGCCACTATGGAAGTCAGTCTGGAGATTCCTCAGAAACCTGAAGATAACCCTACCATACAACCCAGCCATACCGATCCTTGGAATTTACCCAAAGGAAATGAAATTGGCAAACAAACAAGCTGTCTGCACATTAATGTTTATTGCAGC